CGTTTAGGTGCCGTGTACTTAGTTTATAGAGCATTATTCCACCTAAAAGGTAGCTGCTCTTTGCGACGAATCTCATCCAGAAGGATGTCGCCGGACGCCTGCTATGATGTTGGGACAGGTCGTATTAGTTTAAAATTCATAGCATGATCAGGCGACTAGGTGTCTGGGCTGATCATGGAGAGTGGACGTCTGTTCGACTAGTCGGCGTGCCCCTCAGTTGGTAAAAAATGGAGAGTAGTCGTCTGCTATTTGAGCAAGCGGCTTGCCCCTCTGTTTATAACATATATAAATGTAGCAAATTTGCAAGTTTTATTAGTAGCTCTCGGCAATTACATCATTCAAAAATAATACTTCTTTAAATTATCTACATTCCAAGTTCTAGGTAGGGGTTGTCCGTCTGGTGTTTCCAGGCGGTAGGTGCCGTCCCTAACCTCTTCATAGATTCGGTAGGGTCCCTCCCAGTTAGGAGTTATTTTGCCTAACTCATTAGCCCTACCGGCTGCTTCCATCTTCCATAGTACAAAGTCTCTCACTTTGAGTGGACGCCTGTGTACCCTTTTGTTATATGCCCTTGTCATCCTCAGGCGGTAGACTTCATGGCGAAGGGCTGCATTACCCCTACGTTCTGGGAGTGAATCTAATACTAGGCGCATGGACTCCCAATTTGCTTGTTCGTCATACAGCATTATACGAAGAGTCGACTCGTAGTGTTCAATTGGTTGAACAGCTTCTGCCCCTTAAGTTAGGAGGAATGGAGTTTCTCCAGTTACCCCTTTTTCAGTCGTTCTGATGGCCCAGAGAACATGCGGTAGTTCATCTGCCCATAGGTCGCCTGCTCTTTCAATCTTCTTTTTAATACAGTCTGAGATGATTTTATTGAAAGCTTCCACTTGGTCGTTTGCTTGTGGTCGGCGACTGATGCAAAGCAGTGAGAGATACCTTGGTCTCCCAACCAGTTTTTGAGAACAGGCGTCTCAAACTGGGGACCGTTATCAAAAACAATGGGTACCCCAAATCGAGTGATGACATTTTTCCATATGAAGGAGATCACGTCTTTAGTCTTGATACCCTTAACTGCCTCTGTCTCTACCCACTTGGTGAAGTAGTCGACTGCAACCAGTATGTACCTCCTGCCACATGTTGCAGGCGTATAGGGACCTAGGATATCCATTCCCCACTTAGCGAATGGTATAGGACTATGGATGGCCGTGAGGTCTGTGGCCGGACGATGGATTAACTTGCCGAACCTTTGGCACATGTCACATTTTTTAACCATTTCCATGGCGTCAGCTTCCAAGGTAGGCCAGAAGTAACCTTGCTGCCTTGCTCTTTGAGCAAGCGACCTGCCGCCTACGTGAGAAGCGCAGTACCCTAAGTGTAGATCTTCTAAGACCTCTCGTCCTTTTTCTAGGGTAACACATTTCAGGAGGGGCTGAAGATACCCTTTCTTGAAGAGTTCCCCCTTACATATCTCAAAGTTGGACGCCCGTTTTTTCAGTAGGGCCGCCTGGGAGTGATCACTCGGCAAGGTGTCGATTGTTAAATAGGCTCGGATGTCATCCATCCAAGTTGAGATTCTATCAAGGATTCCAATAGGTTCCTCCTCAATGCTTCGTTTCTCCATAACTTCCCAGAAAACGGTCCTTGGAGTGTCACAGGAGGCCGAGGATGCCAGTTTAGAGAGGGCGTCCTCCTGGTTATTCTCGGACCTAGGTACTTGAGTTAGATGAAATTCCTCAAGTGACCCAGCCGCCTGGTTATTTAATCATGGCCGGATGGGTGGATTCATAATCACCATTATATTGGCTTACTATCAATTGTGAGTCCGAACAGGCGGCTATCTTCCTTGCCCCAGCCGCCTTGCACATGCGGATACCAGCCAGTAGAGCTTCATACTCTGCTCGTTGTTCGGGCTTGGAAGTTGAATCGTAGTGCATACTCATACATGTCACCTTCGGGCGATTGACATATGACGCCTACACCACAACCATTCATAGTAGAGCTCCCGTCTACATAGACCTTCTAGACTTGGTCTAAAATTTTAGAATTAGAAGGCCGAGTCATTTCTACTATGAAGTCAGCAAATACTTGCCCCTTCACTGCTTTTCTTGGCTCGAATGTGATTTCAAGGCTCTGTATCTCTATCGCCCATTTGATAATTCGGCCTGACGACTCCATGGTTGTCAGGGGCTGCTTGATCGACTGGTCTGTGTATACCACAACTGGATGCGCCAAAAAATAGGGCTTCAACTTTCTAACTGCCATGAAGAGGGCAAGGACAAAATTTTCAACCAGGGGGTATCTTAACTCAACATTCTTCAAGACGTGACTGACAAAATAGACCGGGAGCTGGCAGCCGTCCCTCTCAGCAAGGAGGACGACACTTAGAGCATGGTCAAACACTGCTAGATACATATAGAGCACTTCTTTGGGCAAAGGGCTGACCAGCCTTGGTAAGGAGTGCAAGTGTTCTTTCAGCTTTTGGAAGGCCGCTTCAGCATCCGGCCCCCATTCCAACATAGCTTTCTTTTTTATTTCCTGAAAGAAGTAGAGACACTTGTCGCCTGTCCGACTGAGAAATCTCCCCAGGGCCGCCAAAAAACCTGTTAATTTCTAGACCTCTCGGACAGTGCGAGGCGACTGCATGTCTATGACCGCCTGTACCTTCTCGGGGTTAGCCTCTATACCCCTTTGATAAGAAATCCGAGAAACTTCCCAGACTCAACTCCAAAAACACACTTCTTGGGATTGAGCATGACATGGTGCCGCCTGAGTGTGGTGAACGTTTCTCGAAGGTCGGCTAAATGGTAACGTCTGTAGTTTGGATTTCACAATCATATCATCTATGTATGCCTCCACATTCCTTCCAATCTGGTCAAAGAAGACGGTGTTTATCATTCTCTGGAAAGTTGTCGAGGCGTTCTTCAAACCAAACGGAATGACCGTGTAACAATATAGGCCCTGATCTGTGACAAAGGCCGTCTTCTCTTGGTCCTTCTTCCACTGGGGAATTTGATGGAAACCAGAGTAGGCGTCCATGAAACTCATCAAGGCATGGCCGGCTGTAGAGTCGACTAGACTTTCGATCTTGGGCAATGGATAACTATCCTTGGGGCATGCCTTGTTTAAGTCCGTGTAGTCCACACACATGCGCCAGGTACCATTTGGCTTCTTTACTAAGACAACATTGGCGACCCAGTCAGGGAAATAACATTGCCGAATGAACCCAGCATCAAGTAACTTTTTAACCTCGGCGGCAGCCGCCTGGCTTTTTTCTTCTCCATGGTTCCTTTTCTTTTGTCTGATCGGCTTCTTTTTAGGATCCACAACCAGCTTATATACTGCCAGGTCTGGACTTATACGTGGCATCTCATGTACTTCAAATGCGAAGATATCCTTGAATTCCTTCAAGAGTTGGTGAAAATCATCACCAAGCGTAGCAAGAGCAGTCGTCCCAACCTTAACAGTTTGGTCAGGACGTGAGTCGTCCAGGGTGACGTCCACATGCTCACCAGCCGGTTAAGGGCGGAATTCGTCTGACCGATCCTCCGCCTGTGACTGCTATTGTCTTTCTTTCCTCTCGGCCCCCAGTTGGGTGACCTTTCTCTTCTTGACGCCTGCTTCTAGGGCAGGTGCTGTTTCTTTGACTTGCTCAAGGTTATTTTCTCCACTGGGGTTGGCTGGTGTCACAGTAGTCTTGATATCAGAGAGGTAGCACTCCTTGGCCACCTTCTGATCTCCCCTAAAGGAGCCGACTGAACCATCATCTTTCTCAAACTTGAGAAGCATGAGAGATGGGATAATTACATCTTTTGATTCATTGAGGGTGGGGCGCCCCAACATCATGTTATAGGCCGTCAATTCCTCAACAACCAAGAACTGAACTACCATGTGGCGGCCCTCCCCCTTTTCACCTAGGCGGACAGGTAGGTCCACTCGGCCGACTGGGTTGACGACTCCTCCTTCGAATCCTACTAAAGGATGGGAGACTGGGTGTATGCTCTTAGGCTTGTACTTGAGCTTGGTCAAGCACCTGTGACTGATAAGATCAGATGAGCTTCCAGTACCAATAAGGACACGACCAACTCTTTGGTTAGCCACCTTGCATTCAATCACAACAGGGTCGTCATGCGGCCCCCGAATACCTCCCAAATCTTCTTCAGTGATTACAACATCAGGAAATGAACTTTTGAAGGTTCGGCCTTGGACAACAGAGTTAACATATAGCCGTCTGATGTTATCTTTGTTGCCCCTAACAGTAGGGCCTCCTTTTGCGAAGCCTCCTGCTATAGTATAGATAGCTATCCTTGTTAAACTCATACTTGGGGGAGTATGGTTTAAATTCTTTTTTCTTCTTGTGGGACGGCTGGTCAGAGGCGTCAGCCACCCACACTTCTTTTCTCTTTTTATCTTCTTTGTTGGCCGACTTCGCTACCTAAACGCCCAACTCCCTTTCTCTTACCCAAAGTATGAAAAAGACTTTGACTCTTCTGACGATGAATCCATCCCACCCCTTGGAAGACGTAAGAACTATCCTTCTCCTTCCCATTTCTCAAAATATAAGGTTCCTATCTCACGTGAGCACCCAAAACCTCGAACCAAAGCCCGCATTCCAAAAAGGCCTAGAATTCATGACTTTTCATCATCTTCTAGTTCCAACTCTTCACCTCCTCCACAACCCAACAACCCTAACCCTCAAGGAAACCCAAACCCAAAGTCAGGCCAAACCCCAAATTACAGTGATTATGTACCAACCTATTTGAAGGAACCCAATGGTAACAAGAAGGCTAACAGTGAAGATCCAGAGTTCGATCCAGTGGAAGAGAAAGGTTCAAATAAATGATCTATGTTATGATTTGTTTCAATAAATTTTATGCATAATAAAATGTACCTCGAATATTAATAATAATAAAGTATTTGCTTTATTTCTTCTATGTTTATGTGTACGAATCAATTTTAATTTCTCTTTCTTTCTCTCAAATGTGAACCTCAGGAAAAATATGTCTTTAAAGTTAAAGAATAAGAAAGTTGGTTCAAATATGGGCAAGGTCCTTAAGAAACTAACCCATCTTGCTGAAAACATTACCCAAGTAGCAAACCAAGGGAAGGGTTCAGGAAATGGGGACACTTTTGGTGAAGTCTTTAAGGGAGTAGCTGCAGCCAAACCACCCTTTTTCTTAGGAAAAGAGGACCCAGCTAGCCTTGAAAACTGGATCCGAGAGTTCGATAAGTTGTTTGATGCAATCAAGTGTCCAGACGATATGAAAGTTAGTAACGGTGCTTACTATCTAAAAGAAGAAGTTGACTTATGGTGGACGCAAAAGAAAGAGGAATTGATGAAAGACCCTAATTTTGGCTGGGAGGATTTTAAGGTAGCTTTGAGGAAAAAGTTTTATCCTGACCATTTGAGGAAACAGAATTGTATGGAGTTCACTAACTTAAGGATGGGAACTATGACTGTGAGTGAGTACTATTCTAAGTTCATAGAACTGATGAGGTTTGCACCGGAAGTAGTACAAACAGAGGCTATCAAAGCCCAAAGGTTAGAACAGGGGTTAACTTGGAATCTGCAAGGAAAACTGGGTGGGGCAACCTTTGAGAGTCTAGATTAGGTGTATGGCCGAGCTGCCCATTTGTATGGGATCAAAGGAAGAGAACTTGGGAGCATGTCTGGGGAGAAAAGGAAGTCCAATGATCAACCCCAAGGGAGCGATAAGAGGCCAAAAACCATGTGAGTTTTGGGAATGGGAACCATGGGGATAAGAGGGACTTTAAAGGGAATTTTCGGAGAAACTCGAACCAGGGTGATGAGAATAGAGAGAACAAGGATAGAACTAAGAGAAGTTACTTCTGTAAAAGATGTGGGAAGGATCACCCGGGGAAGGATTGTGCAGGTAATAAAGTGACATGTTGATACTGCCAAAAATTGGGACACCGAGAATACGAGTGTTTCAAGAAGGAAGCAGATTTGAAGAATGGAAAGGTTCAGGATGGACGGAATCCCCCAAAACCCCCACAATCTAGTGGACCTGCCCAGAACACTGGAATCAGCAATGGTGGAAATACTTCTAAGGGCCGGATTTTCGTAATGAATATCCGTGAAGCTGAGACTTCCAATAATGTGGTAATTGGCACTTTTCTTATACGTTATTTATCTGTGAAAGTTTTATTTGATTCGGGTGCATCGCACTCTTTTATTTCTAAGACAATAATAGAAAGTCTCCAGTTAGAAAGTCCAAAGTCAGTCTCCTTGGAAGTAGCTATTCCAACAGGGGAAGTTAGGGAGCGTTCTAGACTTTTTAGGAATATACCCCTAACTATTTCAGAAGTAGAGTTTCCATCGGACCTAATTGAATTTGATCTCAAAGATCTTGATGTGATCGTGGGAATGGACTGGTTAGGAAAGTACAAAGCCCAGATAGATTGTGTAGCACAGAAAGTCACGCTTTATGGCCCAGCAAAGACCAGAGTGAATTATAGGAAGGAAGGGAAAAGTCAAGGGATAAGAATTATTTCTGCGTTACAACTTTAGAAGTGTCTCAAGAAAAGATATCCGTTATTCATGTGTAGCCTCTAAGAGATAAGGGATAAAGAAGAAAAGAGTGATACAAAATTACCTGTTGTGGAAGAATTTCCTGATGTATTTCCCGATGAAATACCAGGCATGCCACCAGAAAGAGATGTGGAATTCACGGTTGACTTGGTCCCTGGAACTAGACCTATTTCCAAGGCTCCATACAGGATGGCCCCAACTGAGATGAAAGAGCTAAAGGCCCAATTGGAGGATTTTCTTGAAAAGGGATACATTAGACCCAGTTCCTCACCCTGGGGAGCTCAGTACTGTTGGTGAAGAAAAAGGATGGGAGTTTAAGGTTATGTATTGATTACCGTGAGTTGAATAATGTCACCGTGAAGACCAAATACCTACTACCCCGGATTGATGATTTGTTTGACCAGTTAAAGGGAGCAGGAACATTCTCAAAAATAGATTTGAGGTCGGGTTATCACCAGTTAAGGATTGCAGAGCAAGATATTCCTAAGACTGCTTTCAGGATCCGTTATGGCCATTATGAGTTTACAGTAATGCCGTTTGGGTTGACAAACGCACCGGCAGTGTTCATGGATCTGATGCATCGAATCTTCCGACCCTATCTGGAAAAGTTTGTAGTGGTATTTATGGATGACATTCTGGTTTACTCGAATAGTAAGGAGGACCATGAAGACCATTTGAGGAAAGTGTTACAATTGTTAAGGGAGCACCAGTTTTATGCCAAACTTTCTAAGTGTGAGTTCTGGTTAGAGAAAGTTGCCTTTTTGGGGAATATGATCTCTAAGGAAGGAGTCTCGGTTGACCCAGCTAAGGTACAAGCTGTACAGGAGTGGCCAACCCCAAAGAATGTGTCAGAGGTGAGGAGTTTCCTAGGATTGGCCGGGTATTATTGGAGGTTTATAAAGGACTTTTCGAAAATAGCAAGACCGATGACCAACTTGATGAAAAAGGAATGTAAGTTCATTTGGTCTCCTGAGTGTGAGGAAGCATTTCAAACCCTGAAAGAAAAATTGACAACAGCCCCTGTGTTAGCATTACCTGATGAGAGTAAGGAGTATGAGGTGTACAACGATGCGTCAAAGTTTGGGTTAGGATGTGTTTTGATGCAATCTAGGAGAGTAATTTCTTATGCCTCAAGATAGCTGAAGACGTATGAGCAGAATTACCCAACGCATGACTTGGAACTTGCTGCCATAGTGTTTGCCTTGAAGATTTGGAGGCATTACTTGTATGGGGTGACTTGTAAAATTTTCACTGACCACAAGAGCCTAAAGTATATCTTCACCCAAAAGGAATTGAACAATAGACAAAGAAGGTGGTTAGAGTTCATCAAGGATTATGAGCTGCTAATCCAGTACCATGAGGGTAAGGCTAATGTAGTGGCAGACACCTTAAGTAGGAAGTCAAGACACTCGATATATGCGATGATATTGCCGGACCAACTGTGTATCGAGTTCCAAAAGATGAGTTTGGAGGTAGTAGAGCAAGGAGAAGTCAGTCGGATTTTGAACGCTTTGATTATACGACCATCAATTTTCGAGGAAATTAAGAACAGTCAGTCGGAGGATGAAAAATTGAAGAATGTAAAAGAGAAAATGGGTGAAGGGCAGGAATCGGATTTCACCATTGATGAAGAAGGTGGACTTTGTTTTAAGGGAAGATGGTGTATTCTACAACACCGTGGGGACATCAAACAGAGGTTGATGGAAGAAGCTCGTAGTTCTCCTTATTCAATGCATCCTGGAGGGGACGAATTGTATAAGGACATGAAGAAAATGTTTTGGTGGCCAAATATGAAAAGAGAAGTTGCAGAATTTGTGGCCAAGTGTCTAACATGTCAGAAAGTGAAGATTGAACATCGCAGACCACAAGGGAAAGTCCAATCATTAGAAGTGCCTAGTTGGAAGTGGGATTCCATCTCTATGGATTTTGTTGGGGCATTACCCAAAACTCGGGCGGGAAATGACACCATTTGGGTAATTGTGGATCGATTGACGAAAACAGCTATCTTTATACCCATGAAAAACACTTGGTCCATGGAGCAATTGGGAAAAGCCTATGTTAAGTATGTAGTAAAGTACCATGGGGTGCCAAGCGACATTGTGTTAGACAGGGATTCGAGGTTCCTATCCAACTTTTGGCAAAGTGTGCAAAAAGCAATGGGGATGAAACTACTAATGAGCATGGCATTTCACCCTGCCACGGACGGACAGACCGAGAGGACCATCCAAACATTGGAGGATATGTTGAGGGCATGTGTAATGGAATATCAAAGGTCGTGGGAAGACCACCTGGATTTGATTGAGTTTTCTTACAACAATAGTTACCATGCAAGTATTGGGATGGCACCATTTAAAGCCCTATACGGGAGGAAATGTAGAAGCCCAGTCTGTTGGAATGATATCAGTGAAACAATAGTACTTGGACCGGATATGATTGAAGACATGGTTAAACAAGTCAAATTGATACAAGAAAAGATGAAAGCAGCCCAAGACAGGCAAAGAAGCTATGCTAATCCAAAGAGAAGGGAAGAAGAATATCAAGTAGGAGAGAAAGTGTTGTTGAAAGTGTCACCCATGAAAGGGGTTATGAGATTTGGGAAAAGAGGAAAATTGAGCCCAAAGTATATTGGACCATACGAAATTACTCAACGGATCGGAAAAGTGGCATATAGGTTGAACTTACCCAGTGAGCTAGAAAAGGTCCATAACGTATTTCATGTGAGCCAACTCTAGAAGTATGTACCTGATGCGACTCATGTATTACAACTTGAGAACATAGAAATGGAGGAAAACCTGACTTATGAGGAAAGACCTGTCAAAATTCTAGATACTAAAGTCAGGAGCACAAGAAACAAGGATGTGAAAATCGTAAAAGTGTTGTGGACAAATCACAGAATTGAGGAAGCAACATGGGAGGCTGAAGCCGATATGCGGAAACGCTACCCGGAACTTTTTCTTGAGGTTGGTGGTCGAGTTACGGGGGCGTAACTCTTTTTAACGGGGGTAGAGTACGATAGAGTTTCGCGCGCGTTTATTTTCAACCCTCTAGGTTAGCAGTAGGTCGTGTCTAGCTAAAATGTGCATGAATTAACAAACTAAAATCTATTTTCAAAGAAGAAATTTTTTAATTTTTCCTCATTATTCTGCCTAGTTTCGGGGCGAAACTTCTTTTAAGGGGGGTAGACTGTAATACCCCGTATTTTTGAAAGGTATTTTCTAAATTAAAGAGTATTTTAGTCTCGTATTTCGACGTATTTTTCTAAATTAATTATTTTTCTAAAGAGTATTTTAGTTTTGGAGCCAAAATGATATTTAAATTTTGGCGCCTAAATCATTTGTCTTATTATTTTACAAAACTAATTAAAATGTATAACCCAATAAATGAAACTATTTTATACCTATGTTATAAATAGTATTTTTGACTTCTCGAAAATTAAATAGCTAAACCGAAATTATATTAATTCGGTTAAAATAAATTAATTAAATTGTATTTTCGGATTTCATATAATGAAAATCTAAATTGCTTTAATATCTTTCCAAATTAATTATTTTCATGAAATATATATTTATAAATTAATTTTTGGATTTTATATGATAAAAATCTGATTTAATTAATTATTTTAAGTCAATATTTTCGGCCACCCCAATTTATTTAATAAAAATCTGATTTTATTTTTCCAGTTATTAATTTTCACAAAATAAATTTTATTGGATTATTAATTTTAGGCATAAAAATTATTTTACAAAATCCATAAATTAACATAGAGGGATCGAAATTATTGAGCAATATTGAGCTCAATATTTTCGGCCACTCATGAATTTTCTAAATGATTTTAATTTATTTTATTAAAAATAAAAATCCTTTAAAATTCCTTATTTCTACTCTTAAATCTAAAATTTATTTGATCTTATTCTATACTTGCACTCCAAGCTCAAAACTTACTAAACAAAATTTCATGACCAAATAAAATCTAATATTCTTCCATACATTTAAAACCCTAATTTCTATTCTTTGAATTTACCATAATTCATACAACCCTAAATTGCTATAAACTCATCACCTAAACACCTATAAATACCCCTCTTCCAAACACCCCAAGACACACATTAAAACCCCAAGAAATCTCTCTCTCCCTCACGATTTTCCTCTTCTTTTTCCTCCCCAATTTCCGGCCACCACCATCACCGGCGACCACTTGCTGCCGCCGGCGACCACCAGTAGCCGCCACCTCACTGTCGGCCACCCTTTCTCCTCCCTTACTTTGGTTCCACCTCCATCCTTCAATTTCTCCTATCTCCTAATCTTATTTTACATTACTAAGAATTTTCATATATATTATTTCTTGCATAAATTATAGTATAAAAACAAAAAAATTATTTAAATTATAAAAACAGAAAATTATTTTATTAAAATATAATGATACTTTATAATTAATTCATGCACATATAGGGTAGTTTGGTTAAGTTGTTGTGTTTATTTGATAGCCTTATATTAATTAAGGTTATAATAATGTGTAGGGTGTTCGTGATTAAGTGAAGTAATTGTGTGAATCGCTCGTGTTACAGTCAAGGTACGTTATGTGGTTTGATACCTTCGAAAGTTGACTATGAAATTATGTTTTAATACAACCCTTATGAAATTATATTTTATTATGTTCCGTATGAAATTGTATTTTATGTTCCGTATGAAATTATGTTATTACGTTCCGTATGAAATTATGTTTTATGAAATTATGTTGTATGATGGATTGAAATTAATGATTTTGATTAAAACAAAAGAGACTTTGAATCGTGATTGAAATTATTAAAAAGGATTGGATTAAAAACGATTTACAAGTTTATTGTTATTCAAGTATAACGGATTTTAAAAGGAGCTTTTAAGCAAATCAATCAATATGTTATGAATCCCACTTAGAGAATGGATTAGAGAAGGCTATGAACTTTGCATGACCTAGTCTTTCATCAAGATTGGCCTTTGTTCATAAAGTAAACCACTTGGGGGGTGTGCACATTTAGTGAGGAATTGATTTTGAAATGTAATTGATTGAGTTTTAAACTTGTCTTGAAAGAATTGAATTGTGAAAGTTCTTGCGTGAGTATGATATTGGAAAGAATGTGATGGAATTATTGGAATTAAATGTACATGATTTAATTAATGTTTTACTTATCTCACACATAATCTACTTAGCATAATTTGCTAATACGTGCTTTGGTTTATGGCTTTGCCCTGTTTACCATAATGGTAAGCAGGTGAACTTTTCAGGTGTAAGTTGATTGATGCATATGGGAGTCCACGGG